ACGTCGGGAGCGTTTAAGCATCTGACGCACCGCCAACGCGCTGCTGCTGCTCGAGATGGAAAAATTGAAGTTTTGCTGCTGGACGCGCCGCATCCACCAATCAGAGAAGCTGATCTGGGAGCTGACAGCGAGATAGACACAGCGCTCTGATGACATGATATTAACGCAAATGAAAAAGGCTGGATGGATGAGAAGATGATGAAAGGCAGGTGTATGTGAGGAGACCAGGTGCTTTTTTCCACGCATCACCATCGCTGCGTGCTCATCTCACAGCCGATGTGAAAAAAAGGTGAATCAAATGAACGCTGTGCTCGCCGTTATCCCGGGGGTCTGACAAAGGAACTTCAACCGCTCGACATCAGTGTGAAGCGGCCGTTCAAAGTAAGGCTGCGAGCGGCGTGGGAGCGGTGGATGACAGACGGAGACCACAGTTTCAGGATAAGTGGAAGGCAGCGCCGGGCAAGTTACGCCACCGTTTGCGGATGGATTGTTGATGCTTGGACTAACGTGTCTGCTGGCTCTGTTGTTCAAGCTTTCGCAAAAGCCGGCATTATTTCTGAGGAGCCGCGCTGCACAGAAAGTGACTGACAGCGAAGAATGGGAAACTGGCATGTCTGATTTAGCGCAGCTGTTTAATTCAGAAACAGAGGATGATGACTTTGATGGGTTTGATTAATACTTTGTAATAAATACATGAATAAAGCACAAACATACTCAGTTTTGCTCCCGCTCTATTTTTCTACCTGAAAACTTAATTCAACAGCAGCCTCTGGGCGGGTCTCCTCCTCTTCAGCGCGGTGGCTGGCAGGTGTTTTTTCATCTAAATAATCTAAATCTTGCAGCTATATTTGCTGTGATCAGTGGGAATAAAGTAGTTTTAATATGTTTTTAAGTGAGAAAGGCCACCTGAAAACTTAATTGCAGTCAGTTCATCCAGATTATCTATTTCTGTCGGAGGCGCTCAGACCCCCACATACCAGCGGTGCACCGACAGCAGAAATCCCTTCAACAGCAGCCTCACCGCGGCTGCTGGCAGGTGTTTTTCATCTAAATAATTTAGAGTGCAGGCACCAGGATACCGGCAATAAAAGCAAACATATTCCGTCGGCAGGTTTCAGGATTTTAAGTTAATTTAGGAGTGATCACAGCGCTGTGTCATCTGCAATGTGTCTGTCTCATGGCCAGCTCGCAGGTTTGATTAATACTTTGTAATAAATACATGAATAAAGCATAGTCATACTCAGTTTTGCCCCCGCTGTATTTTTAAATACGCAGTAGAGGTATTTAAAGGTAGTAGAGGACATCTACCTGTATATAAAAAATGCGCCCTATAGTCCGGTGCGCCTTATGTGTGTGTTAAATACAGATATGGGACACATAACTGAGACTGCGCCTTTTAGTACGGTGCGCCTTATGGTCGTGAAAATATCTATCTATCTAATATCTATTTCTAAATACTGAGAGATTCCATTTTTCAAGGGACGGTCGGCAACGCTATTTTAGTGTCACTTCAGCTACAATTTCAATAAAAGTATGCACCGCTTTTGTGTGAGGGGCGGAGCTAAACTGAAGGTTCCTTCAGGGTCCTTAATGACTGATATAGCTCCATAGCTAATGTGAGTTCCTGTTCTTGTCTTGAAATATAGGTCATTAGTTGGCTCAATCTGAAACTAAACTTACTGGATTATTTCTCATTTTATGCTGCCAAAAAATAGTAACAGCGGCAGTTGAATCTAAGCCCTTTATTAATTTACAGCAGGTAGATGACAAGGAATACTGGAAAATGGAAGAACACTGTAGCCTTCAGTTTAGCCCCGCCCCCTGAAGCAAAAACAGTGCCAGCCTGTAGTGACAACATAGCTGAAGAATCTGTAGTGCCAATGAAATAATCTCTTATAAAAAAAATGCTGCAGCTGAAGATGACAGCATAACCATGTTTTTAGCTTTTTAGAGGAGATTTTGAATATTCAGTGTTTGAATTTCCATGATTGACTTTTCAACATTTGATGGTTCAATGTTTGAATTTTCATTGTTTAATTGGCAATTTCGTAATCAAATTGTTAATTGGAGTTTACAGACTCCTAAACAGGACATTTGCTCCATATATACCCCCTCAAAGAAGAAGTTAAGCCAAACCTGTAAAAAAAAATATACATTTATTTTATCTTGGATCTAAGTTTATTTGTATAATTTTTGTACATTTTTTTTGTTGGCAAATAAAACCCTCTATCTAAATATAATGATAAAGCAATTATGAGTGATTTAAGAAACTGTCAAATTGTTTTGTGTGTTTTTCATTTTAATTAAGCCTGTTTTAATCTAAAGTCTAAACTGGAAATGTATTCTTGTTATGTACTATGCTTCACATAAGGATTTCATACAGCTTAAATATGTCCCCTTGTCATTTTCTTTTTACTTTTTTAACTTTAAAGAAGGCTTTAAAGTACTGAGAAAACCTTATCTAAAATGGAAACTATATGTAGATACAATGAGAGACTTATTGGGGACTGTGTCTACAGTACCTTCTGTGGTATATTTATCTGGAGATGTGTTCATTCACTTCACGTCTTTCTGCCTCTTAACTCTGAAAGGTCTTCCTACATTACTTAAATAATTAATTTCTTCAAAGCAAGTTAGTTAATAGAGCATTCACACTTTCTACTTTGCCTTTCTGTAATTTGGAGTTTTGGAGCACTGAGAGAAGCCCAGATTTTTTTAACAGACTGCTTTTTCTATAAAAGCCTTATATGCTCTGTGAGATTCAGGTCAGGTCTCTGAGAGGACCATCCATAAAGATTTAGCTGAAAAATTCTCCAGATAGATGGGTCTGCTTTGGATGTATGGTTTTATAAATGATTTCTGTCATGTCAGTTTATTTTCTGCCTTTTCTGCCAAACTTTCTCTTCGAAGGCTTTGTAAACTGACTCATATCTTGTTCAGGGATGGGTTTTTGTGTGCGATTTCTTTTTTTTTTTTTATTGCTGATCTCTGATTAATAATCAAATGAAATGTTTTTGTCTGGCTAGTTTCAACTCCATGTATGTGTTGCAGAGGCTTAAAATAAGTTTTAATCTGTTTGATACTGACTGATCTGATATTCGCTAGACAAACATTTTTTAAAGTTGCAATAGAACTAGAAATAAATGATTAAAAGCATCTTAATAATTAAATTATTACAGTTTTAAATTTTTCTGCAGAGCAGATATTACTTGTTATATGCCTTGTCTCTCTGGTTTAGTTCTACCATCATGAAGACACCCTGTAAACTTTTAAGGCTAGGCTTAAAACTTTCCTTTTTGATAAAGCTTATAGTTAGAGTGGCCAATGTTATCCTGAGCTATCTCTATAGCTATGCTGCTATAGGCTTAGACTGCTGAAGGACATTCTGCTTTATCGTATCTCTAATTTCCATTTCAATTCAATTTATTTGTCAAGTTCCACTCATAACTTTATGCTCCTTCTGCTTTTTCTCATCACAGTAGCTTCATCTACTCTGTTCCTTTTTGGCTGTGACACCATTTTGGAGAGAGATATCAGCTGTGCTGCTGCCATCAAAACTTTGTTTATAGTTACTGGAGTTTGGCCATTTTTTCAGTGTCGTCATGTTTCTCTTACTTTGACTGGCTGTATGTGCTCTCTTTTGTCCTCTCACATGGGAACTGGCTCAGACCTCATCTGCCTGGCTTCTGCTTTTCTGTGTTATTTCACATGTTCTTTATCTGCTTCTTTTTGTATCTCTGCTTCTGTCTCCTTGAACCCCAGTCGGCCTCGGCAGATGGCCGCTCCCACTGATCCTGGTTCTGCTGGAGGTTTCTTCCTGTTAAAAGGGAGTTTTTCTCTCCACTGTCGCTACATGCATGCTTGGTGTAAAGGATTGCTGAAGAGTGAATTTTCCATTCAATCAGCTTTTTTCCTTACATAGAAAACTTGCAACCAATCTGACTGTATAATCTGGTTGAATAGTCTCTGTAAAGTGCCTTAGGATGACATATGTTGTGAATTTGTGCTATGTAAACTGAATCGAATTTAATCATGTTTTTTGAACATTACATTTCCTTTTCAGCAAGGACAGTATTTTTAACTCCTTATCTTGTTCAAACATCATGTCTAAGCACTAAAAAATAAACAACACAGAATGGTTTTGTGTGTAGTTAATACAAATAAAAAAACTTAACACTGCAGACCTATTTTTACTTATACTTTAGTATTCATTGTTAGGTTGAGAAATAACTTGCCTAAAGTTCAACAACTACCCTTATCGTAGATTGTTGTTACTTTTTATATAAGCTCTTTAATCTTTATTCTTTTTTCCAAGGATGTTGTCCGACTATGTTATCAACATCACCTCTGAAAGACACAGCTATAAGGTCACATCTTCTCACTGAGGACATTGATCTATATAAGTTTGAAAATGTATTTGTTTTGTTAATCAAAACCTACAATTATCATTTAAACCCTATAAAGAGCTCCATAACTCAAACAGGTTTTGAGCTGTTAGAACATTGGCCAGATGAAACAGATGAAAACATTTGTGTTTCTCTAAAGGAATCCTTCTTTTGGCATAACCACATTCTGATGTAGTAAGTCAAAGCATTTGTGTTGTGTTTTGCCTATGGTCAAATAGTAAAACAGAAACATGCTTTTTGAAAATTCACTGTGCTTCCTTCACCTTTAAGTACAAGTATGCATAATAATTACCAAGGATTCCTCTGCTAGATTCATTAGCCTCTGTGGTCTGATTAAGTTCCTGTTTTTTAAACAGCCAGAGGGAAGGCTGATGAGAAAAATCCTTACGGATACATGCACCTGTCACCTAATCAGTCAGACGGTCAGCCAGTCAGTCAAACACTATGACCGATGTACCAGTGTTCACAGGGTCAATCAGTTGCAAATGATTGGCACAGCACATTTACCTTGAGGAAGAGGAGGGGATGACTGAGGGTTGTAAACAGAAAACAACCTGTCATGTGAAAGCTGATTGAGTCTTGTTGATCTCTTACCTCCCGCCACTGTTTAGTCTCCACGCCCTGGGTGTACAGCACAACCACTGAGATGAGAAAAGGTGTGAGAAAGAGAGGGGGTAAAGGAAAGAGAGGGGGGGAAAAGCAATTGAATAAATTGTCATTGAACGGTTTCACATATGCAATGTGAATTCCCAAACAGTGTTTGTTTTTGCTCCTTCTCTACTAACATCTTTCATTAATTATCCTGCCACACCCTGACAGCATAATGAAGTGCTAGACTTGACGATTAATGCTGACTGACATCCTGTTGTATGGAGGGAAAATAATCTCCAAAATAAGATTCAGTGCCCCTAGAGCACAATTTACTGTAAGCTATGCAATCAGAGAGACCTGTCCTAAAGGGGTTGGATTCTTCTGATTTCTGTTCATTTTGTTGCTCATAATAAAGCTGATGCAGGTGGAGGGGCCACAACTTGTCTATAGCCTCAGGTTCAGCTGCAGGCATTCACAAAACTGGGATGAGTGTGATGGGTTTTATTTTCCCAAGGCTTATTTACACAAAGGGGTAATGAGAAATGTTTCTTCCACTTTCTATTCAGTGGTAAAAAAAAAAAATGCCTTTATGACATTTTCCAGTTTCTCTCCCCAAAAGATAGCTATTTGTATTCAGGGGCTGCTGTTTATATCCTGCATGCATTATGGTACTTTAGCTCACAGTAGAGAAAGGTTGTCACATTACTGTGCAAATGATATGCAGTTATTGAAGGAACACTTTCAAACACCAGAGTAAACTGAACCAGGCGTAAGCTCAGCAAAAATAAAAACTAATGGATTTTAAGTGCAGAAAAGATACCAATGAATTATATTCTGCATAAGATTAGCTATCTAAAACCTGCAATATGTGAACAAGAACTTACATGGGTCCGATTTGGAGAAAGTATCTCTGTCCAAAAGATTCCTGCAAGAAGGGAAAACAATAAAACATAAAAATTCAACCAAATCCTGATAAAAGATGTGAGACTGGATATTTATACACATACTGATGAAATAATTCTTACTTGCATTCTTATGACATTTTAAGATCAAAGAACAAGAGAATAAATCATAATAGTGATTCGCAATTACATTTGGCTCACATAAAGCAGAAATGCCCTCGAGATTTCATTTCCAAGTGTGCAGACCAATAAGCTCACTAAAGCCGAGTGTAAGAATACAGAGGACACAAAGATGTGAGCTACATACACAAGCTGCCTCAATATTCACATCAAAAACCCAAGATATGCAAGTGTCGGTGTTGTGGATTTAAAAAAAATAAAGATACCTAAAGTAAAGAAACCTAAAGATAACACAAACAAATATTTTTTTTTTTTGAAATAGTTACATCAAGTAACAGTAAACAGTGAAATATGGTAATTTATTTTCTTTTGCTGAATAATTTCTTTTTCACTTATTGATTTTCTTTTTTTATTTTCTTTTTCTTATAAATAGATGTTCTGACAGCTTTTCTTTATTCACCAGTTGCAGTCAAGCTCTTTGTCAGCACTTAAATGTACATAAATAAAATCAAAAGATCACTCTGCACACTGCCTTTTTGTTAGATTTTCTATCATTTCAAAATGCTATAGACTTCTCACCTTTAAAAAATGAACTTTATTCGATCTGCAACACTTTGCATTGAAAGATCATATTGCTGTTAAAGTAAATAAAACATTTGTCATAATAAGTAGGCAACATTTCACCAATCTACAGCTCTGCAGAAGCTCATCCTGCAGAATCTCTCCAGATGGTCCACAGTCCCCTGTCATCTTCTCTTCAGCTCACCCTAAAGATTTTCTACAGGATTTAGATCTGGTGACTGAGGATGCTTTGTTGATGTCATGTTTGGAGAAACCTATAAGCTGCTATATTAAATGAACTTCCTGCTGGAAGACCAGAAGATGACACATTTTTTGTTCACTAGTAGAGTCCATGATTGATAATTCGCAGCATTCAGGTTTAGGTTGACAGGTTCATGTATGTTTGTGAACACACATACTGTGAGAATTCAACTTTCAGACAAGGTTAGAGTCCATCACATCTTTATTTAAAATCTGGTATCCTCTGGTATTTCATAGATTTCAAGATGCTATCTACCCAAAAAGAACCTCAGGGCTGAGGAAAGAAAAACAGACCCACAAGATCACAGATCAGGTAATTTTATTATTATTCCAACACAAATCAAAAACCTGAGGTTAACAGATATTTGTTACTTTGGTCCCTTCGGCAAGCTCAGTGACACAGCATCACACAACCTACACTATACTGATAATAGGAGATGATGTACTTTTTAAACATACTGCATTCAAACTTTGATTCACACATAACCCTTAACTTAACCATTCATCATTTAAAGCTCAAATCAGCAGAGTTGGACATTGGAGTTCTAAAAAAAGCAGGCATACCGGGATGACAGAAGGTTTTCAGCATCATCAATAGTGTTGTCAGGAGAACAAAAGGCAGCCTGCCTTTATACAGGTCAGCTCATGAGGACCTGGGACTACCTCGCTTGGCAAGTCAAGGGCACATCGTGTTTTTACCCCCAATTTCTCCCGACACCTCTCACCCACCAAAGGCACATAGTAAAAACTTATGTTAATCTGTCTTTGAAGTGTATTACAAAGATGAATTTAATCTCATCTGAGAAGCAAAAACTGGATCCAGTTAAAATCCAGTAGAATTGAGCAGACTTCATGCTTCTGATGGTTGTTGGTGGTGACCTGCTGACCCCAAAACTCAACACTTTGTAGCAGTTTTCTGAAAGAGATCTTACTGTGTTACAACAAGATAAACAGCAGAGCAAACTCTAAAGGAAAATGGTGAGAATGTTATTCTCACCATATCATTATATAAAATGTGAGAATCTCAAACCTTACTGACTAAATTTACTCCTAGTGAAGGCTACATTATGTTCCTCTAATAAAAGAATCATGTATTTTTATGGGTTTTGCATATCTGCCCCAGGGCAGAGGGGTAGTGCATAAATGTTTTCATGACTGGTGTTTATTCTTTTGCAGAATTTGAAGTGAGCACAATTCATCCCAATGTTATTTGATGGCACACCTTTCGGGAATGACTGCAGCAAGTACCCTGCACTTTCAGGCTTACACTTTAGATATTTTATGCAGTAAAGAGCTGCAACGTTTTAACCCGATTCAGACTTAGCAAATGTGTGTGGCCATGGGGCAGGGTATAGCTTGTCACAATATTGCTAGACTATGCTTTGATTTTATCATGGTTGAGCAGAGGCCTGCAGTTTGACAGTAAAATTCCTTTTTCTTGTCCATCAGTATATAGATAAAATAACAGGTATAACAGGTATATATATATATATATATATATATATATATATATATATATATATATATATATATACATATATATAGATATATATATATGGCATTTTGTTTTGCTAAATGAAAGTTAATGTTTGCTAATCTCTTTAAACAGAATTAGGGTTTTATTTGAGAGTAAGCTAACATTTAAGTGCATCAAAAGTGGCCAATAGTGCTACTTAGGTCCAGGGATTTAAATAAAGCAAGCTTTGTTTGCCGACTCACTTACTACCTCATACTGAAGGAAAAAACTTCCACTGATTTCAGACTATATTTGAGCATCTCTCTGAAGAACACAATCCACTTTAGTAAGTAGCATCTCTTCACAAGGCAACTATTAATTATTCTTGTCCATTGAGAAATGTCATGAACAGTTTATTGTTACATTGTTGCTTGTTGGGTATAAAGAAAATTAACTGTCCCCATCCTTTTCAAAATACCAGAGTGACATTTAAAATCTTCAACTAAAGATGCCATTCTTCCTTTGGCTTAATAAAACTAAATTAGATGGAGAATAATAGCTTTATGTTGTAGACATGAAGTATATTTTAGTTATTATTCGTGTACCATGAACACACCTTGCTTGGAAACCAAGGAAGTGATTTCACTTTATGCTTATAACAAGAAAACTTTGAACTCTTTTTGGCTTTTTTTTTTAACAACCATTCATTTTAGTGGCATCATTTCAATTTCCTTATTCAAAATGAAAATAAATGCTTCTTATTGTATAAATTAACTTGATGAGTCCACCGTTTTAGCCTCAACAACTGTTTGACTGTTACCCTGTAAATGTTTCACTCAATACTTATGCCTCTATTTTATTACTGGAACAAAGTCAGTATGTGGAAACACTTGGTCACTTTGGAAAAAGGCCTTGCATAAATCCCTAAGAAGGAAATAGGAATTCAGCCAGTGCTAACAACAGCACTGTGGTGGTGGACTCCAGTTGTATTCAGTATTACTTTTAGTCGTCACTTTATCTTTAATTGTTGCAGAAATATACATGCAACAGGATAGAAAAAAAACAGTGTCCTCCTATTAAAAGGGAAGTGTTATCTTGTGACTGGACAAAAATAAATAGCTGGCAAAAGCTTTACAGCACGAAACTCTTCTATAATCCGTCATTATTGCATTTAATATTTAACCCAGAGTCATTTTCCTTGTGGTTGCAGTGATATTGTTTCCATAAATACATAATGCAAAAGCACACAGATATGTCTTAGTCCTGGTAATTGATTTTGAGTTTTGGGCAATAAATAAACTGAATTTACAGTAGCTGAAAAAGGTCCTTGTCCCCTTTAGGCAACAGCCAGACTTCTATGAATATAGATGAGAGTTTAGGACTGAATCCAAGCCTGTGCATGTAATGTTGTATTCCTGGAAATAAAATCTTCTGACTAAAATATATAGTAGAGGTAGAACAGATGCAACATTGTTTGGCCTTAGCCTTGGGCTGACCTGACAACAGTTGGGAAATTGTCAAAGTAATTATCAGTGGAGAGATAAAACTATCTGTGACTTACACTGCATGAAAAGTGGGATTTTCGTCAAAATACGGCACTGTAGATTGTCGTGGAATTTCAGGTTAGCGGCAGTTTACGGCAATTTGCAACCTTCGCCGAAAACTCCCGTAAATTGTCAGAAATTGACGTGGAATTTCTTAGGCAGTGTTCCCCCCATGCCTCCCCCCCATGGAATTCTAGGGGAGGCTTTAACATGTTAATGAACATGCTGTGAGCTATACAAATGCAAACCAGGGTTGCAGGGGGGGTAAAACCCCCCCTGCAACCCTGGGTAAGAAAATCTCTGATACAAAGAGATCAGGTATAGCCTCTTACATTTTAGCTTGAATTGATTTATTTAATTAAAGTATAGAGACCAAAACAGATCTTTAGCTGACAGAGCAATACATTTAGAGCAGTAATTATTTTTTTTTTAAATTTGCATTTAAGATAAAAAATAAAATGTTGTCTGTCAATATGCTCAATTCACAATTACTTAAGTGGAAAAGTTTCAAGAAATGATTCTGAGATGATTCACTTTATAACATGGCGCATTATCCTGTTGGAAGTAGCCATCAGAAGATTGGTACACTGTGGTCATAAGGACATAGGTCAGCATGCTAAATTGGTTTTAAGTGGCCCAAAGTGTGGCAATAAATATCCCCCAAATAGATGGTAGAAATAGATCAGGCTCAGTATAGCCTAATTATAGACTCTTACATTTTAGCTTGAATTGATTTATTTAATTAAAGTACGCTAGATTACTGTGTATGCAAATGTTATGTAAAAAAAATACACAAAATAATTTACTTCAAAAATTAGTTTTAATCAGAATCAGTTGGCTGTAATGGTTAATTTTTTTTTTTAGATTTCCACTTTTTTTTTTTTTTTGTTATTGAATATATAAGAAAACAATAACAATCTCAAATAACAAGTCAATAACAAATATTTCAATACAAGAAGAAATATCACAACTCCTGCTTTTGAAAAATAAAATTAAATGCACAGGCTGGAACAAAGTATAAAATAAAATAAAATAAATAAAAATAAATAAAATAATAATAGTAGTTAAAGTAAATTATTCA